AATGTTTAAAACTGTTTTGTACATTCCTTAAATGAAGACTTATTATCTGGGTATCAAATAAAAGAGCTTGGAGAATAGAATGCGAAAAACGAGAGTCCATCAGGAACCCAAGTTTGGAAACCACGTTAACAACCCCAATCTCTGCATTAAGCATCTTAATCGCTATCAAGAAATTGTAGTCATAATCGACCAGCGAGATAATGGCTTTAGTTTAGTAAAGTAGTAAAAATCAGACAAGAAAGTAATGTGATTCAATTTTTCATTGACACGCTAAACTAAATCACCCATCATTCCGAGCGGCACGAGAGACAGATGGGTACATCATTAACAAAACGTATTAAGTGCAAGAGGTTGCGTTACTTTTGCTTATTTGCTTATGTATGCTAAAAATTGGCTTTTGTAATACACCTTTTGCAACGCTGTTAACTTAGTTGACATTTTCTTTTTCGTCACCTTAAAGGTGAAAAGTAAACTTCATTGTTAATAAACAACAAAGCCCGGTCGCCGCAAAATAAATACATCAATTTACTTCGCCCAATTTAATTATTTTGGATCTCACATAAAATTTAGGGATTATGTAAATTATTAACGGATTGGACTTATTAATCTTATCCATAAGATTTCGTTATAAAAAGTAAATTTTGCAACTCAACATAAACTTGTAGAAATGGGAGATGGTGACGCAAACGATACAATCAATGTAGCCGCGGATCCACAAGCACCTGTTACTCGCGACCTAAAGGTTTCTAATCTGCTTTTGACTGATAAAGGTTGCCCTTATTGCCCGGCAAAATAGAAATAGCTCAGCTTGAACTGATTATTGGCCTATTAGGGACTCACACAAATTTGGCCATCTGGCCAAATTTTCCAAAAACGCCATCCATACAAAATATCACTCTTAAACAACAGCCCTATAACAATCTCAAACCAAAGTTTCAATATCTGTCAGTAGCAGATTTAAGACTTTTAAATTTTCTTTTTATGCTACAGAAGGCATGGCCACCTTGGAAATGCTATTAACCAAAATACCCATTAAAACGGAAAAGCAGGCATTGAAAATTCTCGATATATGTTCTAAAAAGCAATTTATTAATGCTGAAGAAGAAATCTGCAAGGTACAAGCAAAAAAATCTTTCACCGAAGAACGTTATGGTAATGCTTTGGAATGGGCGATAAGATCTAGGGATACTTTGTATGTTACGTCTATCGCCGACTACCTACTAAAGGTGTGTAATATATTGCAAATGTTTATAACATTGAAAAAATTTGCAAAATTCCCTTCCAGCACTACGTTCAGACGGGCGATATATTATGTCCTGACGTTATAGCTAACATAGGAGCAAAAATGTTCATTTCACCGCGATTAGTGTTTTTGGCGAAATACTTTGATTTCTATCAATTTTACAGAAAGAAAGATTTACTTCCTGCCGCTGAGCTGCTACTAAATTTATTAGAATCTGAAATTATTCCAGAATAGTAAGTACAAAAAATAAAAGATTTGCTTCAATTAAATATAATTATATGTACAGTTTTTGGCCTTCTTTATTGGTTGATACCATACCTTTACTGGAATCGAAGGATCCGAAAATTTTCTTCAAAGAGACTTGCTGTATATTACAGCACTTAGAGAGCAACTTAATGCCGCTGATTGAAAAGAAGAAAAAACATATGGAAAAACATCCGAATGTAAGATAATTTTTTCTTTGCTGAATGAATATGAAACACATTCGTTCGTTCCTTTCCAGGAGCCAATCAATATCCTTAAACACTATCGCCTTGATAATGTCGAACAAATTGTTAACCTGCTGCGTTTAGCCTGCGCCCGAAACCTGTCCCGTGCTATTATTATAGAAAACACACTAATAAATTGAAAATAACGTTTGAGTTACGCTTTCGTTTTGTTCATATCAGCGTTTAATTTCCAATGCTCTTTTCGAAACTGATGATTGAATGAAAATATCTAATTCGGAAAGAACATATTAATATTTTTTCTATCTTTCAATTCTTTGCATGTTCAAGAAACGATGCATACTTAAAAAAAAAGCTCATTGAAGTTCTATGAAAATGAAAAAAAGCTTCGTGCACAAGCTACGAGTAATTTCAAGTAATTGGAAAGTAATTTCGTTTTTTCTTTGTTGTATCCATTCCTGATGGGAATAAATGATTGCCTTTATGTCTACAGATGAGAAATGTTGGGTTCGAAGAGCTCGTAAAGAGCTAGTTTCTCGACCACATATAAAAATTGTGAAGTTATTACAACCACCAACTAGGGTGCGTCGGAAGGGAAAAATCGAATTGAAAACATTGCTGTCCGTTTGTGGCCTATGAATAACTTGACATCAAAATGAACCTCACCTAGATTTGAACCTCACTGACCTATTTTTTCTGCATGATCGCACAAACGGACTAATACGAAATATTACATTTTATAAACCAAAAAGCTTGTTTTAAATATTTTATAATGGAAATGAGTCCTTAGTAGACTATGTAATTTTAGTGGATTATGATGCAAACAGGTGTATGAGTGCATTAATCAAAGTAGCTTGTTACTTCGTTACAATCACCGGCTTGACGCATGTAAGAGTCGGCCTTCGTGCTCTTACTTGTTGCATAAGAAATTGTGTTTATGAGCATTAAGAAGCGTTATTAGCTTATGAACTCATGTAATTTTTTATTTGAAAGATCAAAACTACGATCAGCTACCATCCACGTGTGTGATTTATTTAATTGTTTCTAGCATTACTTTTTATGCTTTGTTAACAAAACATTACAAAAAAAAAAAAACGAACGCAATCATTTAATTAGATAAGATTCTTTGTGTGTTATATGCTCATAAGTGCATCTATGATTTCGGATACGTGTGGAAAATGGAGAGAGCACAGACTTATTTTTAATAAATAAGAAAAATGGTGAATAAAAAATCTCTCTCATCTGTTAAATGAGAAAACGTAACGAAGCAGTCGTGCACATCTCTGTTAAGTGAGAAAAAGGAACAAAGCAGCCATGCATATCTCTGTTAAATGAGAATAAGTGGTTGAAAAAACACAATAATTCTGTTAAACGAGGATTTGCTACGTCTTTTAAGCGGAATGATGTTTCGAAAGAATTTCTTAGAGTATTCAAAAACAGACCATTTACCAAAAATATTTTTTATTTATGCTTAACACAAAACATGATCGCTTTGCTTTCATAAAGTAAATTTAAAAACACTGACCATGGATAGAAGACAAGGCCTGGCCAAGGTCATCGTAAAGGAACTCGTTACAACTGGATCGAAATTTAAAATTTTCGGGTACATATCCATGGGCGATAATGTGCCCGACGTAATAACAACAGTTTGAAATCTTTGAAATACTGGAGCTATAGCTATAGAAGAATCCATGCAACTGAAGTGCAAGATAGGATTCGCTACGGTTGGATGATGGTGAAGCCTTTAATATATGTAGAAGCTAAAGTAGCGAAATGCGTAACGTGCAAATGTGCAATTTAGTGAATATTGTTTAGCTTTTTTACGTGCAATAGCAAACCAATATTAAGGAACCATATTCAGTCATATCGGTAATTTCCAGAGTTCTTAATAAGCTGCTTAGGCGCTCCGCACAAAATCTTAAAGGTTTACGTTCAATACATACGTGTTCAAGAAAAGCAGGAAGTTTATCGATAATAAGCAAAAAGCCACAACAGCAATAATTATCAATTTTGAGCTCATTATTATGTAGGTTTCTTTAACAAAATTAAAATTAACATTTTGTTTTCATTGAGTCCCTTCGTGACTCTTATTTGAATGTCCATTATCAGGAAATTGGCGTGTTTCCAAAAAAGTGCTGACAAGCCTGCTTATTGAAAAAAAGTCGATAAACATCACTTCATCACGAGATCGTGATCTTCCATGCGATTTCAAGTGTTATGTTCGCTATAAGGGATTGAAAAATGATGATATCGTCCGGTGAATGCTGTTTTCTCTTACTCAATGGTCATAAGCAAACGACGATTGTAATAGCTATCTCCTTTTAGTCTCGGAGAATCTTACCTATTACCTACTAAATTGAGGATCATCCGAAGGTCGCGCAGTAATTAAGAAAATGCTTTGCGGCTTTCGTATTCTGCTCAACTTTGCCATACCTTACCTTAGATTTATAACGGCTTTGGCCCAATTGAAATTACGCCATATTA